AACATCAAGAAAACAAAGATTCTCACCACTGGGCCAATTGGCAGCATCAGTATGGATGGTGAAGAGATTGAGATAGTTAACAGTTTTAGTTTACTTGGTTCCACAGTCAACACTCTTGGAAACAGCAGTCAGGAAAGCAGGAGATGAATTGCATTGGGAAATTCAGCTGTGAGGGACCTCTCAAGAGTACTAAAGTGCAACACATCAGGCTGGAGACTAAGGTGCGCCTGATCCAGACTATAGTCTTTGCAATTACATGCTATGCATCAGAGAGTTGGACAGTGAATAGGGATGATAGAAAGAGAATTGATGCCTTTGAGTTTTGGTGCTGGAAAAGAGTGTTGAATATACCGTGGTCTGCTAGGAGAACAAACAGGTTTGTCCTAGGGAGGGTGAAGCCAGAATGCTCCTTGGAGTCAAGGATTCTGAAGCTTCGTCTGACATACTTTGGGCATGTTGCAAAGAGGGACTGGTCCTTGGAGAGGGACATCATGTTTGGGAGAGTGGAGGGACGGCACAGGAGAGGAAGACCCTTGATGAGATGGATCGATTCTGTGAATGGAGTGGTGGGAATGAGTGTGTTTGAAATGGCAAGGTTGGCACAGGATAGAACGGCATTTAGGGCTCTTGCACATGGGGTCGCTATGAGTTGCAAGCGACTCAATGGCACATAACAACAAGACCAGTTTAATTTATAGATTTTTCTCCCTCTCCTCACAAATTGAAGAATGTCATCCTACATTTTCCCAAGTTTCCTGTATTTTTAATCTTCATGATTCTATACCTGTGATATTTTTTAAAATATTTTCCTCTGTTCACTATATTTTTTGAAAATTGATACTTACATCTAAAAGTTTGATAAGATTTGCATTCAATCTTTGCTTTTTGGTTGCTTATTTTTTATAAGATTTCTTTAGAGGTTATTGTGTGTATTTGTGCGATAGTTATTTTTGTAAGTGACTATCAGTCATTCTCTAAGTCAATTAATTTATTATAAGAATTTAAAGTGCCAGTATTACCATTCTACCATTCCTTTTATTATTTTACAAATACATTGAAGAATCATGCAATGCTGCCAGCGTTAGATGCAATCCTGGGCCACAGCTGGTCCAGTGAAGAACCTTTCATCTCAGCTTTATTGTTTGCTTTAACTCCTTCATTATCTTCAAAATAAAGAAACAGTCCATCTTTTTCCGCTATGACTCTCATTGTCACGTTCCCAATGCTGGATGTACCTTCTTTCTGAGATCTGATTTCTCTTTCTTGATCATGACCATCATCATGTCACCTACACCAGCAGTAGGAAGTCTGTGCAGCCATCCTTGACCCCCATCACAAATATGATAGAAAGATTTTTGGCTGCTGTGTTATCAGCACACTTGATTACTATTCCTATGAGAAGACCAAGGGAAATCCAGAATTTTGTGCTGAATTTTGCACCACGTCCTCACAACATCTTGGACACCAGAAAAGAACAGAAAGCCCCTTGCTAAGTGTTTGGTTATTTTCTTTGTATAGGAAAGGCAAGATGAATGGTTATTTTCCTTTTCTAATTGGCTTTTGAAGAACTCTGGTGGCTTATTTGTAATGAGTTGTACTGCCTACCCAAAGGCACATGGCTTGAATCAGCCAGCCACTCTGTGGGAGAAAGATGAGTACTCTCCTTCCAGGTGGTGTACTCCCTCTGAAAGCCATGATCATGGTCAGCTATGAGTCAGTTCTAACGAGGTATTCAGCAGCAACAACAACAATTGGTTTTTAAAATAAGCAGATTCCCTAGTGTCTTCTAAAAGTAACCACTGAGAATTTTATTTTCCTGTGGTATGACAACCACCTGGCCTACTGACTGGAAGAGATCTATATTTATTCCCATTCTAAAGAAATGCGATCTGATAGAGTGTGGGAATTATCGAACAGTATTATTGATATCATCTGCAAGCACGATTCTGCTGAAGATTTCCAAAAATGACTGGGAACAGCACATCAACAGAGAACTGCCTAAAGTACAGGCTGGATTTAGAAGAGGCTATGGTAGTAGGGATATTATAGCTAATGTCAGATGGATCTTGGCTGAAAACAGAGAGTAACAGAGAGTACCAATGTATGTGTTTCATTGACTATGCAAAGGCATTTGATTGTGTGGATCATAACAAAATGGCTGACTCTGAGAAGAATGGGAATCCCAGAACACTTGTTTGTGTTTATGCGAAACATACTTGAACCAGGAGGCAGTCATCAGAACAAAGCAAGGAAACACTGCATGGTTCAAAATCAGGAAGGGTATGCATCAAGGATGTGTCCTGTCTCCATATATTTTCAATCTATATGCAGAACAGATTATTTGGGAGGCTGGGCTCTGTGAGAAGTGTGCCATTAGGATCAGAGATAGACTCGTCAACAATGTGCGTTATGCAGATGACGCAACCCTGCTTGCTGAAACTGAGGAGGACCTGAAACGCTGCTGTGTAGTGTCAAGGACCTCAGCCTTCAATATGGATTGAAGCTCAACATCAAGAAGACAAAGATTCTCACCACTGGGCCAACTGGCAGCATCAGGATGGATGGTGAAGAGATTGAGATTGTTGACATCTTCAATTTGTTTGGCTCTACAATCAACACACTTGGTAGCAGCAGCCAGGAAATTAAAAGACTAATTGCATTGGGAAAGTCTGCTGTCAGAGACATCTCCAAGGTACTAAGGAGCAGTGGTGTCAATCTGGAGACTAAGTTGTGCCTGATACAGGCCATAGTCTTTGCAGTTGCTTGCTATGCATCAGAGAGCTGGACAATGCCTAGGGATGATAGAAGGAGAGTTGATGCCTTTGAGCTTTGGTGCTGGAGAAGAGTATTGAATATAACATGGACTGCTCAGAGAACAAACAAGTTTGTTCTGGAGAAGGTGAAGCCGGGCTGCTCCTTGGAGGCAAGGATTCTGAAGCTCCGTCTGACGTACTTTGGACATGTTGGAAGGAGTGATCAGTCCTTGGAGAGGGACGTCATGCTTTGGAAGGTGGAGGGACAGTGCAGGAGAGGAAGACCCTCGATGAGATGTATTGATTCCATCACTAGGGCAATAGGGATGGGTGTGTCAGAGACAATAAGATTGGCAAAGGATAGAGCAAGGTTCAGGGCTATTGTACATAGGGTCACTATGAGTTGCAAGCAACTCCATGGCACATAACAACAACAATAATTAATTGACAGAAGAATTGATGCCCTTGGATTCTGATGTTGGTAAAAGTGTATTAAACATAATATGAACTGTCAAAAGAACAAATAAATCTGTCTTGGAGGAAAGGCAATTAGGATGCTTCTTAGAGGCAGGGAGGATGGAACTTCATCTCACACACTTTGGACATGTTTTCAGGAAAGGATGTTTTTAGAAAAGGATATCATGCTGGTAAAATTAGAGGTGAGTGAAAAAGAGGAAAACTCTCGACAAGATGGATCGACACAGTGACTGCAACAGTGGACTTGAGCACGGCAAACTGTGAGAATGGCACAGCACAGGGCAGGCTTTCAGTGTGTTGCTCTTAGGGTCGCTGTGAGTCTGTAGTCATGGTGCACACAGCATGAACTTATCAGTTCTACTATTTTTATAGACTTCAGTCTATTTCAATTATTACTCCATGTTAAAATCACATTGTCATATTTTAGGCCATACTCTTCTTGTTGACTTCTAAGTCCTTTTGTCATGACCTACTAGTCACTGATAGTTTCTTTGGTCACTAATATGATAAGATGTGTAGGTTCATCTTCTATGTTTTCTGTTCCAAACTTGAAAATTTGCTGTTATTCAGAGGTTTCTTGGTTCATTGAATGGAATACTATAGTTAACATTCACATGAATTAATATATTGCAAAAATATCAAGATATTATTGTGTATAGTTTTAAAATCATAGAAGTCTTAGACTATGTTGTAATATTTCATTTTAAGTACAGTTTCTGTTCTTCAACAGGATTGGCGAGCGTGCCATTCTTCTGGGAGGACTCATCATTGTATGGGTTGGCTTCTTTATCTTGTTACCCTGGGGAAATAATTTCCCCAAAATACAATGGGAAGGTATGTTGTTGTTGTGGACTGTAATTCTATGATAATCCTTACATAATTCTATGATAGCTCTTGTATATCTGTCTAAAATTAACAATTTTGTTTTTATAGACTTACATAATAATTCAATCCCTAATACCACATTTGGGGAAGTGATATTTACTTTCTGGAAGTCTTTAAGAGAAGATCACAAAGAAGAACCAACGGGTTGCCCAGTTGAACAAACCTGGTGCCTGTACACCCCTGTAATCCATCTGGCTCAGTTTCTCACATCAGCCATGTTAATTGGAATAGGTTATCCAGCCTGCAATGTGATGTCCTATACATTATATTCAAAAATTGTGGGACCAAAACCTCAGGTCAGTCAATTACTTTGATATTATAATATTTGAAATAAGTTTCTAAGCACTTACATGTTTAGCTACCATAGTTTGTTTTGTAAACATTTTACTGGGGTTTTGGGGAGTAGGTGTGTCAGAGTCAGTGAGACTGGGTCAGAGTCAGGACAGGGCAGAATTTACAGTTACTGTACATAGGGTCACTGTGAGTCACAGGCAACTCATTGGCGCATTAACAACAACAAACTGGCTAACATAGAGATTTTTAGTACAACTAACATCTTACTACTCATTGCCATCCCATTGGAATCAACTTATTGCTGACTCTCGAGTAGGTTTACTGAGGCTATAAATTGTGTAGGAGAAGATTACCTATCTTTCTCCCTCAGAGCACCTGGTAGATAGGAATTGCTAAAGAGGTGTGCCACTTTTTGGACTAACGTCCCAACTCCTTGGAGAAGTGTTATAGGATTTTTATGCTGAAATGTATTAAATGATATAAAAAATAACATTTAGATGGCCAACAGATGCATGAATAAATGATCCAAATCACTGGTAATAAGAGAGACATAAATCAAAACCACAAAGAGATACCAGTAGCAGTGGCAAAGTTTAGCAGGGCACCAAGTACTAAATGTTGGAGAGGATGTGGCAAAATAGGAACTACAAATATATTGTTGGTGGGATTGTAAAATGGTACAACCTTTCTGGAAGGTAGTTTGGCATTTCCTCAAAAAGCTAAACATAGAAATTCCATATTGACTCAGCTGTTCCACTGCTTGGATATACATTGAGAAAATGAGAATTGAGACACAGAGACCTGTACACCAATGTTAACAGCAGCATTATTCACCATTGCAAGAACATAGAAACAGCCCACATGGCCAACCACAATGGAATGGATTGAGAGATTATGATACATTCACGCAGTGGAATACTATGCAGCATGCAGGAGCAATCATTTTATAAATTACTACCTAACATGCCATAGTCTTCGCAATCACCTGTTACGCATCAGAGAGTTGGACAATGACCAAGGAGGATAGAAGGAGAACTGATGCCTTTGAGCTGTGGTGTTGGAGAAGAGTACTGAGAATACCATGGACTGCTAGGAAAACAAATAGATTTATCCTGGAGAGGGTTAAACCGGGTGGCTCCTTGGAGGCAAGGATTCTGAGGCTCCGTCTAACTTACTTCGGACATGTAGTGAGGAGAGACCGGTCTTTGGAGAGGGACATCATGCTTGGGAGGGTGGAGGGACGGCGCAGGAGAGGAAAGCCCTCTATGGGATGGGTGTGTCAGAGACGATGCTATTGGCACAGGACAGAGCAGAGTTTAGGGCTATTGTCCATAGGGTTACTATGAGTCGCAAGCGACTCCACGGCACATAACAACAACAACAACACAACAGAAAAGGGAGCTCTGGTGGCCTAGAGATGAGACACTGCTCTGCAATCCCAAAGGCATATATTTTGAATCCACCAGTGGCTCCATGGGTGAAGGATGAACAATCTCCTCTCATGTGATTAACTGCCGTGAAAACCCGCTGGAGGGTCAGCTAAGGGTCAGTTCCAACTCAGCGGTACACAATAACAGCAACATAGCAGAAAATGAAAGTTCACCAAACCAAAGTTACCAAAAGCAATCAGTGTTAACTTCATTTGTATCAAATCAAGATATTTTTATGCCTATTAAAGAGATGTCCATTTTAAAATAGCTTTAGTAAAGCAGTCTGGTGGAATAAATGATTGGGAAAATTATGCCTGTAAAGTTGCCATCAGCAGCATCTTTGTTTAATAAATAACTCTGAATATCTATCTGCTTGTCTCATTCTGCTCCTCACAGGGTGTGTACATGGGCTGGTTAACAGCATCTGGAAGTGGAGCTCGGATTCTTGGACCTGTGTTCATCAGCCATGTGTATACTTACTGGGGACCACGATGGGCATTCAGTCTTATTTGTGGAATATTAATACTCACCATCACACTCCTGGGGGTGGTTTACAAAAGACTCATTGCATTTTCTGTGAGATATGGGAGGAGTGAAGAGTCATCAAGATAAGACTACTTGCTGTTTGAAACTTCCAGTTCTAAGGCTCTACTAGAAAATTGCTGTAAGCCAATCCCTAAACACCAGGGTGTGGATGTTGAATATTTTGTAAAACAAGAGCATATATTGAATAACAATTCTACATGTAATCATGACTAATAAGATAATATGAAAGAATTCTACATCTTCATTTCCTTATTCCAAAAATTAATTATTCCTTTTACAACACGTTTTGAGGGAATTATGTGAACTCGTGAGCAAATGAACATGTCTATAAATATGAATTTGTACTCATAATATGAGGAGCTTTGGTAATGCAGTTCTTTAGCATTCTGCAGCTAACCAAAGTTTGCGGTTCAGACCTGTCAACTACTATTAGGGGAGTGATATGGCAGTCTGCTTCTGTCAGGATTACAGCTTTGAAAACCCTATTAGGCAGTTCTATTCTGTGCTATAGGGCTGAGTTGAAATCAATTCCATGATAATAGGCTTTATGTGTTTTGGGAGGTTTTTTGGGATTTTTTAAAACTCTAAGCTTTAAGTACAGAGGAGCCATTAAAGCACTTAGAGAATATTTATTTTTGCAGAGAAATCATGGGAGAGTTCTGTTTGATTTGGCCACGGCAGCAGAATGCATTTATAAAAGTTTTTGCCTAAATAGAATTGCTTTTAATTCAAGGATACTTACTTTTTACTTATTTATGTTTTGTTCTATTACTGTACCCTCTATCTTACTTCAGTTTGGAATCTTACTAAAGTAAAAGTAACCACTAAATAATATGAGTAAGAGTAATGCTAATATTGAACAGTTTAAAAGAAAATGTAAATTAAGATGGTTTTACTACTTTTAATAAGATTCACTACTTTTTTCTTTTAAGTATGAATAATTCACTTTACAAAAATAGGCCAGATTTGTGTTAACTTTTATATATATCTACTGAATAGAAATGATTTCTTAAAATGGGTCTCTCTCTGTTTAACTATTCAGAACTGCAAAATTGTAGCCTGATTTAAAATTTGGATAGGACAAGACCAATCCAATCCATTTATGCTAATAACTAATTGAGGCAAAATGCATTTAATATAACTGTTTACTGGAAGTCGCTAAATCATACTTGGTACACACTTCTACCTCTACATCTGTTGAATGCTGATGAAATAAACTGGTATAGAATCATGTATATTGGTAATTACTGTTATAAAAAATGGAGGAAAATTTTAGATACTTTACCAAATGTTTTCTACTGTTACAAATCTTTTCAAATTTTAGAGTAAACATTGTATCCATTTTCTTTTTTATATCTATTATTATTATTAGTTTTAATGACAATTTACAGAGACTTTGGATTTCCATTCATTCATTGTTGCACTTCTCTCCCTCCCCCCTCCTCCCCAATTCACTCTTCTCTTTGAAAAGTAAAAGAAAAATTCATTGTTATACAATCCCTCCCTCCAAGTCCACTCCCACTATGCAACCTTCATTGTGCATTCCTGTATTCTGACATAAATCATCCTATGGCTAAATTTTGGAGATTTTGTGTGTGTGTGTGTCTTTTCTACTACTTAGAGCAAGACTCTCCCTGAGCTGGATGATCATCAGAACCATGACCAGGTTTCTGGTTGGTCAAATTGTGGGATCCCTGTTACTTCATGTTTTCCAGCTTCTGTCATATATGGTACTAGTAATGCTAAAGAAGGGAGTTCCAGTGGCCTAGTGGGCTACCAACCCAAGGGCAAAGTGTCCTTACCCACCAGCTGCTCGATGGAAGAAAGTTAAGCATCCTCCTCTCATGCAATTTACAGCCTCCAAAAACCAGCTGGAGGGTCAGCTATGAGCTGGATCCTACTTGACATCACACCACAACATAATCCTAAAAGGATAAAGTCCACCCTTGGTGGATATAGTTCATGTGACAGAATAAAAATAATGGTAGTGGTGAAAATTCTAAGTTGTTTTTGTTGTTGGGTGCCATTGAATCGAGTAAAGTATAATAGTAAACATTATTTATAGAGTTCTATTTTACAAGATTATGCACTATATAATTAATACACATAGAAACCTTATTGGGCAGTGTTATTATAATTCTTGTTTCACACATGAAGAAATAGAGGCACAGAGGAGTTAAGGAGCTTAGCAGAACTTAGCAAAGTAACAGTTTAATCTTAAGACACTCTACTTTTAACCACTGTATTTTTCATATTGAAGAAAATAACCCATAAAATATAATAGTTAAATAACTTAAAACTTAAGATACCTTTGTCAGTGACTCCCATTAGCAGAAATATTTAAGGAACAATTTCAAATCTACTGACTGGGGTTTTTATTTTAGCAATGTATTTAACCTGACACTAGGCAAGAATATGGCATGAAGACGTTTTTCTTCACCTTAAGACGAATATTACTGAAGAAAATTCAGATTAAATACGATTGTGGAAGATAAAACTGTAACTTTGTGCAAGACTGCTGTTTTCCTTTTTAATTGAGAGCACTTTCTTTGGAGGTAGCAGAGAGATTCTACTAGTATACATTTTGATATTTAAAAAAAGGAAAAGAAATATGGGTTTGATGGAAGGACAAGGAAGTTAAATTTAAGGAAAAAAAATTATTGAGTTGAGGGCCTCAGTGAGACATGCTGAGTATAGATTAAAAAAGATGTTGCTGTTGCTATACAACAGAGCAGACTTAGATATGACCCTCCAGTGAGTTTTTTCAGAGGCTGTAAATCTCACACGAGAATATTTACCACTTTTCTCCTGTGGAGCAAATAGTAATAGGAGACCTTAAAGATAAGAAAAACTGCTAAACATTTCTATGCTTTATTTAAGAAAAGATAAATACCATACTTAAACTTGAAAAGGGAGCTTTTTCTGCTTTGAAGAGATTTATAACTCCCAAAATTGTCTCTGTGCTTCCCTAGATACTTTACCTACATCTAAAAGAAATGCCTCAAGTTCATAAATTTAGCCTTATACAAAGTGAAATAAACCTGTATGTACATTTTTGTTTTGAAGGGTAAAAGTTATTTATCTGTACCTATTAAAAACACTAATTTATAATATTTTTTATTATTATAGACTTATTTTTAAAATAATGTTTATATTATGATTGTACATTTAATAATAAATAATATTATTAATATGTGTCTTATGCCTATAATATTTACTCATTCAAACATTCAGCAGATAAAAGTTGCACCCACTGGGGTGAGATGATATCTCTTTGGGATTTTTATTTTTTATTTGTATTTCTCTTATTGCCAATGTTTTTGAGCTTCATGTGTTTGTTGGCCATCTGAATGTTTTCCTATGTCAAAGGTCTTTCTATATTTCTTGCCCAATTTGTAATTTAGTTATCAGAATTTTTCTTGTGAAGGCCCTAGTGTTATTTTTTTTTCTGCATATCAATGAACTTTAAGATGGAATGACTGCTAATTGCATGGAAGTTCCTTGCCAATGCAAAAAATCCATGAAGTTCATACAAACTTAAACAAAACAGATGGCATGTTTAAAACTGTAAGAACATATCCAGATGCCCAGGTGATGAAGGCTGGGGTATATCAGCCTGCACATTTCTTTCAAGCCATTGAAGAGTTTGTGGGCCACACAGTGGTCCCTTGCATGCAAGAAGTCAAAGAGCTCCTCTGTGCAATCTTCTGTGTGTGATCGGGAGGACACGTTCATCACAGAGCTCTAGTTGCTCCCTAGCCTTTATACATATTTCCATCTGCTCACATTGTTCTCTCACTGTTGTTAGGGGATCCACTAGTTCTTCCTCTTCAGATCCAGTCAGCATCTTTTGGCCATCCTCTAGTCCCATATCTGGCTCAGTTTTAAATTAAAAAAACAGCAGCAACAGAGACAGACACTACTTCAGGACCAAGAAGGACTTGTAAGGGTCACTCCGCCCTAGTGTTATTTTAGATGCTATTGAGTCAAGTAGACCCAATGAACAACAGATCTCAACACTGTTCTATCCTGTGCCATCTTCCCACTTCCTGACACACTGGAGCCTACTGCAGCAGTCACTGTATCAGTCCACCTGGTTGAGGTTCTTCATCTCCTTCACCAACCGTCTGCTTTCCCAAGTATCATGTCTCTGTAGTATTCTACAGGGAGGCCCTAAAGGAAGCCCTATAGTGTTGTCTGAGTTGCCATTGCCAAAACTTTCTTCTCAGTTAGTTTGTTTCCTTCTCACCCCAGAAGCAGTGGCAAAGTTTAATAGAACAATAAGCAATAAATGTTGGCCAGGATGTGGAGAGATTGGAACTCTCATACACTGTTGGTGGGATTGTAAAATGGTACAGCCACTCTGGAAGGCAGTTTGGCATGTCCTCACATAGCTGGACATAGAGATTCTTTACAACCCAGGTATGCCACTTGTAGGGATATACCCGAATGAAAATAGAACTGAGATACAAACAGATTTGTACATGATGTTCATAGCTGCATTATTCACGTTAGGAAGAACATGGAAATAGGCCTGATGTCCATCAACTGAATTAAGAAAGTGTAAGTCTTTTATCGCAATATTAAATGATGCTATGAGCAATAAATTGAAGGACCCATAAACCATTAAAAGAAGAAGGAGGAAATATACACAGAGTCACTGTACCTGAAAGAATTGATTGACACTGAAAAATTACAGGAAGTACCATCTGAACAAGAGCCAATGGTAATGAAGAAGGATGTAGAAGCTGCATTGAACTCATTGGCAAAAAATAAGGCCCCAGGAATCGATGAGATACCAATTGACTTATTTAAATTAACAGATGCAGCCTTAGATGCACTTACCAGTCAATGCCAGGGACTTTGGAGGACAGCTTTCTGGCCAATAGATTGGAAGAGGTTCATATTCGTTTCCACTCTCAAGCAAGGTGATCCAATTGAATGTGGAAACTATTGAATAATAGCATTAATATCACATGCAAGCAAAATACTGCTGAAGATCATTTTTAAAATGGTTTGAACAGTACTTAGATAGGAAACTGCCAGAAGCTCAAACAGGATTTAGAAGAGGCCATGGTACAGGTGATATCTTGGCTGATGTCAGATGGATCCTGGCTAAAACTGAAGAATACCAGAAGAGGAGCTCTGGTGGCCTAGTGGCAAGAAGCTGCACTGCAATCTCAAACGCACACAGTTTGAATCCACCGGATGCTCCACTGGAGAAGGAGATGCAATCTCCTCCTGTGTGAGCTGGATCCAGCTCGATGGTACACAACAACAACAAAAATACATAAATATGTGACAGCAGATGTTTTTAAAAATACCAGAATAATGTGTATTTGTGCTTTATTGATAATGCAAAGGCATTTGACTGTGTGAATCATAACGTGTTGTGGCTAACATTGAGAAGAATGGGAATCCCAGAGCACTTAATTATCCTCATGCAGAACCAATACCTGAAACAGGAGGTGGCTGTGAACAGAGTAGGGGAAAACGGAATGGTTTAAAATTGAGAAGGGAGTGTGTCAGTGTGTTACTCTGTCTCCATACCTATTCAATCTGTATGCTGAGGAAATTATATGAGAAGCTGGAATCTACAAAGAGGAGTATGGCATCAGGATTGGAGGGAGACTCATAAATAACCTGTGTTATGCAGATAACACAACCTTGCTTGCTGAAAGTGAAGAGGACTAGAAACACTTGTTGCAGAAGATCAAGGAATGCAGTCTTCAGTATGGATTGCATCTTGATATCAAGGAAACAAAGATTCTTACCATTGGACCAAGGGGCAGTATCAAGATAGATGGAGAGTCAACCATTTTGAATAATATTGCATGAGTTCCTTGTTTTTTAATGCAGCATAGTATTCCATTGTGCGAATATACCACAGCTTCTCTAGCCATT